TCCTGAGCTCCTCAGACACGCTCTGCACTTGCCTTTCCCCTGAGCAAACCAGAACCCGCAGCCACAGACACGTTTTTTTGGGACAGCTTACCAGGAGTCTTTCAGGGTCTGTTTCGTTGCCCACCTCACCCCCCCCCCGGCAGTTTTTATTGTCTGCGTGCTCAGACAGCGGGCAATTCCCCGCGGGCCCGAGGGGACAGGACTGAAGTGTGATGGGGAGAAACACCGCGATCCTGGACAAACCGCTGTGTGAGGCCTTTCCCTCACCCCCACGACCCCGCACCCCCTCCGTCCCCGCAAGGACAGCGCACGGCATCGCTCGGCAGCTGCTCTCCTCCATACGCCGATGTCCGCGCCCGCCCTTCGGCCGCCGGGACGGGCAGCACCGAGCGGGCACGGCCGTAAGCGGGGCTCCTGCGGGCCGCCTCGCCGCGGCTGTCAGCGGTCCTGAGCGCAACGAAGGAGCACGAATACCTAACGCTCCTGAAGAACCGCTCCGCTAGCGAAGAGTTACGGAGACTTTATGAGGGGCAGAAGTAAAACGCGCCCGGCGACTCGTGGGGCAGCGCGGTGCTGCGGCGGACATCGCCTCCTCCCGGGGTTCGTTCGCTCGTCCCCACCCCCAGCAGCCAGCGCTGCGGACCCTCCAGGACCCGAAGGTCGCGGCTCGGGGCGCGCCGAGCTCCGCAGCACCGCGCACTGCGGCGGAGAGCAGCAGCACGACGTTCGCGGAGCTGGTTCTCTCCCGTGGCAGCGCCTCCCGCGTCGATCCGAGCCGGGCAGCCCGCGACCTCGCACGAAGCCCGACCCTCACCCCAGCTCCGCACGGGAGCCCCGTCCGCCGCCCAGCCGCCCCCACCCCCCCGCGGCGCTCCCTCCGCCGCTACCCGCTCTCACCCCCGCCCGGCCCCGCTCACGGGGCGCTCCCGGCGCACGCTCAGCTCCCGCCCTCCGTGCCGCACGGCCGGCCCTCCCCTCCTCTCTCCTCCCTCCCCGCTTCTCTCTTCCCCGCCCCACCCCGCCCCGCAGGCGCACCGAGCTGCTCAGAGATGCGGTTTTACTGCCCACGGCCGCCGCTCAGCATCCCGAGCCCGCACCCCCGGGCACGGTTGAGTCCCCGCGGTAGCCGAGCACGGCGGCAGGCTTAGCCGCGCCCAGGAGTCCGCCCGTACAGCTCGCTACTCGGCTTTCAGGCCCTCCGCGATGAGGTTGAGCTCGTAACACCACGTCTCGTAGCGATACGCCATGCGGATCTGAGCCACGTTGGTCTTCCGGACGTCGTTTCCATGGGGCCCCTCCTCCTGGTAGTTCTCACCCAGGAACTTGGCTTTCTCCTGCCACGTACAAGCACAGGGGTACGGGTTCTCACGGGCCCCTGCCGGCAGCGCCGGACGGATGCAGGAGCTGCGGTGCAGAGAGATGCCCACGGCCCTGCTGGAGCTGCTGGCCCGCTCTGCTACCCGGCCCTCCCTGGGCACCCACCTCGTGGGACAGGCCACACTGCAGCACGCTGTTCCTGGCAATCTCACACATGTCACAGGTGCTGAGTTTGAAGACCTGGGCGGCGATGGCATACTCCTCCATCAGGGGCTCCTGTAGCCAAAGGTTGCATTAGAAGCCGGGCAGCTTCTGCCTGCGTAGCCCACGTGGCTGCCCCATAAACGTGCTGTCCCCAGCACTCCCCACCCTCTGCTGGCTCCCGTGACAAACGAGGCCCACACAGCACCTTGGTGTAATGAAACTGCATGGGGTCATCTGTAGAAAGGGACACCATAAGGCCCTTCTGGTGGAAGTCAAGCAGCGGATTCTTCGCGTACTCCAGGAAGAGGCTGTTGTTGCTGAGGGGGGACATAGCGATGGGAATTTGGGCAAGGAAGTACAGATACTGCAGCACTGGGCTCTGCAATGGAGAGAAGAATTGTCAGATATAGGGATAAAGCTGCTGTGACCTCCACCTCTTCAAGCTCACAACTCAGATCAACCCAGTTCCACAGCCAGGAAGCCTGATGCACAGCACTCATAAGGGCCAAAGTTGTTAGGCAAGCTAAGAGTTCTCCAAGGCCCACCTGGAGCTTGAGAGACCAAGCGAGTTGAGGTCTGAAGTCATCCAGACTTCAACTCCAGTGAGACACATTTATAAAAACGATAGGTCTGTGATGTTAAACCCTTTGGAAGTATGAATATGTTTCCCAACTGCAGCCACAAACATACCTGGGAAAACCCAGGGAATCACATATTATGTGCTAGAAGCCAGGCTGTCTGTGTAAGGCTAAGGCAGAGGCATGATGATCTATCAGCTACAGCAGAGGTCAGCTGTGAGCATGCTCTCCTTCTCTGCCACTTCACTGCTCCGTGGCAGACTACTCCACTCACCTTCTTGAGGTTGAGACCATGGGAGATGTTATCTGCTGTCATGAAGGCTGCAAGCAGGTGTGTGATGGCCCCAGCTTCCCCACAGTGTGGACGGAAGAGGAACGTGTTCATACCACGCTGCCTAAACACACAGAAGGAGGACTCAGAGCAGGTAAGCAGTAGGGTTATATGGCACATCTGCAAGATTCCCCTACTTCAGATCCAGCTCAGCCCCTACCAGTGTGTCCCCAAGAAGCCAGCTTGCCCTAACTTGTACTCTTTCCTCCCCTCCATATACAATAGATGCATCTCTGCACTCTTAAAGCTTTCACCCCGTTTGATCACACTTCCTATTGATGAATGTTGGGAAATCGGACTGGGTCAAGAAGGTCCAAACTACACCAGTTGCAGAGCAAGAAGAGCCCCTGCTGACTTCTGCCAGCCCATCAGCTGTGTCCTTTAGCAGATCTGGGACCTCACCTGCGCAGGTTGTTAAGCACCAGGATGTTGGCATACATGTAGTATACATAGTAGGTATAGGATGGGTTCTTTGCAGAAGTCCAGTGCTCTGGCTTTGGACTTTTAGTGGAGAACATGTGTCCGCTGTGCTTGGATTCATCATCCACGCTGTCAAAGCCAGTGATCTGTTTGGCAAAATAACAAAAGAAGCTGCATCTCAAAGCTCCTCACATCATCATGCCCAGGTAGGCTGCCTCACTTTGCCCCACTGCAGCTTACCATACCTTGGCTGTAGCCCACACACCTGCCCTACCCAGGAGCAGTCAGGAGCAAGGTTGTAGACCTACCTCCCCATTAACCCCCTGGCTCTATCAATGGATTGAAAGAAAGCTTATACCAAACCACTTATCCAGGAATTAAGGAGACAGCATTTCTAACAGTCCCACAGCAGCACAGCTCAGGGTGACTGGCTCCTCCCTTTCAGCACTTCTGGATTCACATCCTTTCCCAGAAAATGGCAGAATAGCCACAATCCCACTGATGATATTTTCTGTGCCAGAGCTGATGTTCTATTTCTCGTGCACAAACAGGAACATCCAGGGCTCACCAGACCCTGACAGCACCATGAAGTGACACTCACGTGACGTAGAAAGACACTCAGCTCTTTGTGGGCTTGAGGATTGACAGTTGCCTCAAACACAGGAACAAAGATATTTTCCAACATCTTCCCAAAGTGTGGGAGGAAATTCCGAGATCTGAACACATCACTGCAGACAGACACAAAGATTAATCACTATCAGAGGAGCGTGGCTCACTGTTCCCATAATTCCTTCTGGGCTAAGAATAAGGTACGGTGTACTATAAGGCACAGTGCTCTGCACAGCACATACTAAATCCTGGGTACTTGGATCATCCACTTCATATTGGGGGAGTAGACCCGGTGTCTGTTGAACCAGTTGGCCAGCTTGGGCCACTCCTCAGCTGATCGCCCATAGATTGAGAGGCGAGGCTCTGCATGCTGGTACTTGGCATCCTCCAGATCAGAGCCAACCTCCTAGGAACCGAGAAAACATACAGTACACAAGCATCCTCAATCCTAAGTGCAGCAGCCCCACGGCTTTCTCCTCCCCTGTATTCATACCTTGATGATGGTAGCAAAGTATTCACCGTTGATGGTGTTTTCTGTCTTCAGGTAGAGGTCCCGCAGTTCACTGGCACCCACGGGGTTGTACTTAGCATTGAATTTGTCAAAGCGCTGAAACGTCTGACGCCCCTGGAGTAGAGATGACAAGGGGCAAATCCTGTAAACACATGCTGAGTGCAGGCATACCAGCTGGGCAGGGACTGATCCACAGAAGCCAGAATGGGAACATCAGGAGCTGCCATGCCCCACCATGAATGCTAACATGCAGAGTGTGTGCCCTGCCACTTACAGCATGGACATCCAGGGAGTCCACTGTCAAGTCATATGGGTGCAGATTGAGCTTCTGAAAAAGTTGTTTCAGAGTGAGCTTTTCACCTTTGGCATCGTAAACGACGCGGTCAGCATCCACACGATACGACTTCTTGATGAAACGCAGAAGGTGCTTCTGGTTCATGCAGGCTGCAGCATGGATGTGTGTATCCACCTGAGAAGGCAAAGCAACAGCTCTCCAGCTTCAAGATGGGGCTGCTCGGGTAACACCATGTATCCCTTAGCTGAACCCAAGTTGTGTCCAGGCGTACCAGCTGGGCAGGGACTGATCAGACAGAAGCCAGAATGGGAAAGTCAGGAGCTGCCATGCCCCACCATGAATGCTGACATGCACAGTGTGTGCCCTGCCCATTAGACCCTGACCCTCATACCCACATTTCTCAGGGAGCAGCAGTTACCAAGAGAGCTCAGCTGCAGGGCTGTGAGCCTTGCCATTTACCTTACGGCAATTGTAGAAATCCCGATGAGGGTTGTTCTTCAGCTCTTTCATCTCCTCCATCTCATTTAGCATTTCGTGCACTTGGAACTTGTATGAGAGGAACTTCAGGCGTCGATGACTGTAGGTCTTACTGGAAAAAGAAAAGGGAAGAAGAATGTCTGGACACAGAGAGTCAAATGCACGGGGGTTGAGCTTTCACCCAAAGTGGAGGAGCTCACACTGCCTTGTCCTGCCTCCCCATGGTGCTGCTTCTGGCTGTGTCACAGGACGGCCTTGCCAGGTAGGAGCATACCCACAGGAGATGTCTTCAACCCCTCAACACTGACTTTGCTCAAGACCCCCAACCGAGATGGCTGAGAAGGACCAAGGACACTTAAGTAGCCAGCAGGCTGTTGGTCTGGCAAGGTGGGATTCTGAGGCTATCCCTCAACCCTGCCCCTCCAAGCCCCCCTACCAAAAGGGTACAGAGCTGGCAGAATTTTCCCATTTGGGTTTCTGGCTGCTGTGAGCAGGTCCCTCCCTCCTTTCAGGAAGAAGAAGGGGCAACCATGGCTCTGCCCTGGTCCTCCCTTTGCCTGCTGAGGCAGTACCAGTTTGATTGCCCTCAGCAGTGCTAGGCTGAGCACTTACACAGGCCCCTGTGCAATCAGGGCCAAGAGGAAATTCATGTCATCAACAAAATGCTTGAGGTCAGGGTAAGGCAGGTCCTTTGGCTCATTTCTTCCAGCTGCTGCCTTGTCACTATAGATGTAAACGATCCCATCCTTCATCTGGACATGGTATCCCAGGTCCTCGGGGAGATTCCCAGTTTCAAAGGGATCCTGTCCATCCTTCACTGGCGGGGTGAACACTGCACCGAAGGGAGAATACTATGGGGCTGTGGCTGTCTGCCAAAACCCCACAAGCCTGCCACACTCCTCCACCCCCAGCAGAGGACAGGCAGAGCCCAAGCACCAACAGTGAAGAGTCCCAGGCAGGCAATCTCCCCATGGAGTGCTGTGTAACTCTTTTCTGACACCTTGCCATCGCAATTTGAAGCAAGGGACCAAAACTCTGCAGGTGCTTAAACATACCTGGGCCAGCATCACTTGCCCTCCAGACTTCACCTTCAATAGCACGCAGGTACTGTGATGGGGTCCTGGGAAACCTCTGCAATGACTTCTGCATGTATTTCTCCCGGATGCACAAGGCACGGTACAGGCCTTTGCAGACAACTTCAAAATCTTCCACTGTCACCTGCAAGAGAGCTGCTGTTGATGTAACCACACAACTGGAACATAGTTTCTTGAGAGAGACTGTGGTGCATCAAGTCATAAATGCTGCAGGTGTGTTTACAGCAAGATACATATTTGATCATCCTCTCCCTTCCA